ATACAATGTGTGGGAGGGCCCAAACATGACACCCTTCCCACTAAAAAACCACAAATGGTTCTAAAACTAGAAAAAACTGAAAAATACATTAGATACTTGAATAAAAAGCTTAACAGTGCCTAAATACATAATGTCATGAGGCTAGAGAGCGACCCAATTTAGTCTTGCCTCTGCCTCTAGTTCTAGGGAAGGATCAAGCTAATAAGCTAGTAAATGATTATCATTGCCAGAAGTAACCAATGTATCATCAAATATGTTCCCGAGCTGGAGTCGGCCTCCATTTTTCTTCTTCCTCCTGTAATAGACCTGTCATTCCTCCTCCGAAGAATCAGTCTGATGGGATGGTAGAGCTGAAGCAGAAGGAATCCCAACCGTAGTACCCACAATAGGTTCTAGTATATGTGAAATATGAGTTGCCTCTACACTGGATACTTCCTGAAGAAGGCGAAGAAATGTAGTTGCGAGGCTCTCCTGATTATCAGTCTGAACACTATCATTTGTTAGGTAATAGTCCATCAGTATTGTTTTCTATTGGGTTTGAAGGTGTCAACATCACATCACTCGCAGTAACAATAACAGCAGTGTCGTGGGGGGTCCTCAGGGGCAACAGACACCTCCTGCCTGGTAGTATCCTCCCCACGTGGAACTAAAACCACGTGGAACTAAAATGTCCAGAGCAGAAGCTTGAGGCATTTATCAAGGATATGACCAAACATCTTACAGTGGGTACAATATAGGGGTCCGTGATTCTTCCATGATAATTTGTTGTCAATAACCATTGTGGGTTGTGCCCAGCCAGACTTCAGTAACATCCCGTAAAGTAATATCCCTTTCCACAAGTATTCTGGCCACCGAGGGTCTGGTTAGGTTGAAAGTAGGCAGATCTAGCTTCAAAGGATCCCCTAGGATGGCCCCAATAGAGTAGAGAACCTGATGGTGAAAAAAATGCAGCTTGAGACTAGGTAAACTAAACAATACCAGTACATTGGGAGTTTCAGGAGACCACTTGAGTAACTTCATAGATTTTCCTGTGATATTAAGATATTTCTTGGAGAAAATTCTGGTGTAGTCTTCAGTCATTGTTAGCTGGATCAATACATGTCTCTCATCCATAAGTCTCATTTTACACTTGTCTACTGTCTTAAGATCATCTACACTTTTTCTGATAACATCCATAGGTAGGTGTCCCCACTAAAATTTTCCAATAAGAGAAAACTTGAATTTTTTTGTCAGTGCAGAAATTTCTGAGTTAGAGAAAAAAATTGTTGTTTTTCTGTCTTTCCTACTTCCCTTCTTAACAAAAGGACAATCATCCATACCATCACAACATTCTCTATAGCTTGAGGGGAATACCATCGCGGACTCCACATGAGAGTTTCCCACCACGTGGGCAAAGGAGTCCTTCACCGATTCTACCAAAGAAGAAGGAAGTGTCATCAAAGCAAGGGGATGTGGCGGTTGTCACCTGCAGCGAGAATCTTGCATCGGGCTGGAGAGAAAAACGGGCGCAGAAGCAAACCATAAGAATTGTTGTAGGGCCGGAGAGAAACACTGGCGCAGACACTAACAGAAGAAGGGTTGAAATGAAGGAAAGAACCGTCAGACGTGGAAAGCAGAGGCGCAGCGTCGAAACTGGACGCCGACGCGGAAAGACGCCGCACGAAACTTGCAGCTCGAGGCTGACGAGTCGACGTGGAAGCTGGCGCGAGTGAGGGACGACGAAGCCGCAAATTTCGTACGTCGTTGTCGACGATCGCGAAAAATGAATGCATAATTCGTCGTCGTGTACGGAACTTCCGGAAAGCCAAAGATCAAAACAGGGAATCACCATCTGGCGAAACCCTAGCGGAGCAGCCAGCCATACTTGAGAGTTGAGGCTATTTTCATTTTTTTCTTATATATATATATATATAAATATATATTAATTTTTCAATTACTATTATGATTTTGAATCAAAATGAGATTAATATATAAAATATTTAATAAATATATGACATTAAAAAAAAATTATTCATATATAAGTATGGTTTTATACATTTGCTTCAACTCATGCTTTAACAAATATGTAAAGGATTTCTTCAGCTCATGCTTTAACAAATATATAAATGATTTTGATAATAATAAATGATA